TTAATTTTAACCATATATTTTTTGGAATCGACAACTTTTCAATTATATATTACATTAACTTTTATCAAAATCTATTAAAAATATGATTTTTATTTAAATCAAACAAGGCTATATACCAAGTCGAGAGTTTAAAGGTACGACTTGCACAAAAATCAATTGTATTAAAGAAGATAAGTATGTGAAATATTTGTTTGTTGACATTGTTGTTTTGTAAATACTATCATGTTCGAGATAAATTTTTCTTCCACGCTCGTAATTTTAGACAATGTTAGACATTATTAAGAAACAAAAGAGTTAATTTTTTATTTATTATATTATTCAATACTATTTAATATTGCGTACCAAACTAATAATAGTGTTTTTTTTCAATTTTTTCCAACTAGGTGCTTGTTTGCACAATACAAGCATCTTACACTAGACAAACATGAAAATAATTCAAGATTGACTAGATGGGCTGGGTTTATAAATTGTATTGGGCCTCAAAAATTTTACATCCGGAGTGCTAGGCCCGACATCTAGCCTGGTATGGGCCATGATGATGATGTCTTGATATTTCCTTTGAATGGATTACGCCCATTTACACAAAAACTTTACAAGAGTTTTTTTTTTTTTTTAATATTCAGGTGTACATCTTGAATGGCATAATGCACAAGAAACATTCTATCATTACCTGATGGAATTAATCTCAGATTCAACAAAAAGCTCATTCATGAGCAAGAATGTAAAGATCAATATCCTTCTTGAACAAATGTGGTGAGTTTGTGTTTTCAATGAGTGGTCATCTTATAATAGATGTTTGATAGCTCGTAATTGGGTGGTGGAGCATGGATTTTTAGTATCAATCTCATAAACGACACCAAATTGTTGGCTTAAAAAATATCAACAATCAGTCTATTGTCGACCTTGCAATTGGCTTGAAAAAGAACACATGTCGAAGACGGCACTCAGTTATCCAATTGAGGCCCTCATACACTCAAATCAATCCCACGGTTGAAATATCACCATATAATATGGTAAATAAGTGAGTACTGCGAATAATATATGTCTCTTTGTATAACCATTTTTTTATTGGACGTATATGATAAACTAAACTTCGATTTGATTGCCGTGTGTGAATTTGTGCTTAAAAATCCCACCAATCATGCAGATTAGGCATTGATTAGATGTCAATCGATTAAAACTCAATAAGTATACTTTGTCCGTTTTCAAATATAACAGTCTTATCATTCCATAATTTAGGAGTATTTATTTATGCATTGACAGTAAGAAACGAAAATGTATCTTATTTATACAGACATGATATCAATTACTTTAGACAACCTCAAACTATCAGAAACTATTAAAATTTCTCAAAGACAGCAAACTGATTATACATAGTATTTAATCAAAGCATACGTCACAAATCCAGCAGCAACACAACGCGAAGAGACTGCACAAACAAATAAATCAGTTAACTATTAAGAGGGTTAAATGCAAATCAAGATCACAAAAAATTCGATGCGATCTCACTTTTCCGACAAAAAAGTGTTTAGACGAAAACCTTCGAGCCTTTTTCTTCGGATTAGCCGTGTCAAAATACGTTAGTTACTCTTTGTCGGTAATTTACATGCAGTTTGAAATGAACTTACCATCCCTCGCAGAAGCCCCTCTCTCCTTTGGGCTTTGACCAGAAGATCATCTTCTTCTTCTTTCCAGTTGCACCATTTCCAGTCGGGTAACCTGCATATCAAAATAGTTCAACAAAACTTGAGATTTTAAGGGCCCTTTTTGACATGGATTCTGCTTCTTTTAGAAGAACAAATTTTCTCTAAAATCCCTTCTAATCCGACTCATGTTTAGAACATTTTCGACTTTTCAAAAGCCTTACCAAACAGAGCCTAAGTTCATTAAAGAGC